CCTGGCTCAGCAGTATTTATATTCCTCGTTTTTGAATTCTTCTCTGGTACGATGCGTGAACGACAGATGCTGATTTGAGGTGATACCAAGGGAATACATTTATTGTCGGTTAACGAGGGGCAGTGGATTAAAATCCAAATCCAAACACCAGGATCACCGGTATGAATGGTTATAGCTATTCGATGTAGATGCATCGAAAATTGTCTGCGGGTATATTTGCCCCGCCTCGTTCTTGGAATTTGCTCGATATCCGAGTCTGGTTAGACATCTCGTAATCTAGCTGTTATAACTCATCATGGATAGCAGCATTGCTATCAGCGCTATTTCACTGAATCCATACAACTTCATTGACCGCTGACACTCGCTGGCAACCGTCAGCAACAGATTAAATCCTCGCAGTCATTACGAAGTTCTCGTATAATCACTATAGCTACAATAGGCTACCATATGTACAAGCGTCGTAGAATAGATGGGCGAATAGATGGGATGAATAGATACAGGCTATAGCTGGGCTGGCGAGCTAGTCTAGTTAACAGGCAAGCAAGCAAGACAATGCAATTCGTGTGCTGTGAAAATGTGTAGTTAAAAAGTGAAAAAAATATAAAGCTCGAAAAAAACAATACAACAAACGAAAGAAAATATCCAAGTAATCATGTAAAAAAATCAACAAACCGCGGTTGCCCCAATAAATATGTGTAAAAACTCATACAGGAACAGAAGCAGTCCCTTGCACATCGCCATCCGTATTCGTCCGACGAGGCCTTCTACGTCTTCGTCTGTGGTTTCGTGCGCATAAGTCACGAATAACGATAATAACATCGAAAAACCACCAACCTTGGAAACAACGGACCCCTAGGCATAGGCCGCTCGTCCAAATCCAATGCAATATTCGTCGCAGAATGTAATCCCTGAGGCCACAAATTAAAATCAGAAAATTTCCTGAATAACACTGATAACCAAGAACACTCACCTCGATCCACTCAACAACATCCGTAACATCCCTCGCCTGCAACAAAAACTGCTCTCCCTCCATCCTCACCCGAATCACATTCTTCCTCTTCAAATAATCATTCCCCAGCCCGCTCTCAGCATGCTGAAGCGTATACGCCTTGAGCAAATCGGTCTTCTGAGGTGGCGGACACGTTATCCCTTTCGAAAAAGCAGCATTACTCCCCGGGCTGATAGAGCTCGTTGGTGAGTGGGTCGGACTAGGACCAGCGCTAGACTGTCGAGTCGAGGAACCACCTCCACCTCCATTCACAGACGAAAACCCCGACGGAGGCGACATAGACGAAGGCGAAGACACCGATACATTCGAATTCGAATACGAGCTCATCCCACTCGTCTGCGAGATCGCGCTCTCCGCAGATATGGAAGGCCGTGAAGGCGTCCTCGTCAAAATATTAAACGACGATCTCGACGAATACGGTGTCGGCGTAGTCAACCCAGATCCCCCCGTATTCTCACTCTGTGCGCGTTTATGCGATTTCGGGGGTTTAAGCAGTGACACAATCTTCGACCGCGACGGCGGAGAAATGCTGTTCCTCCCATCCTCCGTATCACCTCGATCCCGATTGCGCTGACTCGAGGCCGACGGACGGCCGTTCGTCGCGCTCCACGGTTGAGGCGATGGCGGAACAGGCAGCCGAATCTCCGTATGCCCCCTGTCCCCCGTCTCCCCAGCAATCTTCTCCGCCCTCAACCTCTCCTGTTCCCGTGCCCTCTCCTCCACACTAACATTCCTCCCCGCGCCCCCTCCAACTCCCACTCCCACAGTCCCCGCCACCCCAATCCCACCTACACTCCCCACCCCAGCCCCCCCAGCTCCCCCACCCCAGCGCCAACACTCATATCCCCAACACCCACCTTCCTCTCCCACCAATCCACCACCTTCGGCGTCCCCGCATACGCAGGCGGACACCGATACACCCTAAACACCGTCCCCTCAAGCTCACACACGACCTTCCTCCACTTCCTATCTTTCGCCTGGATCCCCGGCTTCGTAAACTCGAGTTTCCTTGGCATGATCGCGCGCAGAAGCACATCATTGCTATAAGGCGGCAACCTCTCGCAGCCCTCGTCAGGCAAGGGCGACACGCGTGGCGGCTGGTGTTGCGGGTGACGATGCACATGTATCGGAGGCGGGCCCAGCGGGATAGGCTGATCATGGGAATACTCTATCATGAAACTCGGATACGGGGGTGGCGGCGAGCCTACGTTAAACGTTGGCATCGATCTGCGACGAACGAGAGATCCAGGAACAGCACTGGGGCCCGCCACAGCGCCAGGAGTCTGAATAACGATCGTAGGCGGCGGCGGACGCGGGGCAGGACTTTGTATATGCGCGAGGTGTTGTTCTTGGGTGAGATGAGGAGGTGGAACACCCATACGCACGTCCCGGCGTTCTTCTACGATCAACGCGTCTCTGTGCGAGGGCGGTGGCGCGCGCTGTGGTTTCTCGACTTGGGGAGAAGACAAGGTGGTTTTCGGTGGCGGTTGGGAGACATCGTGAGGTAACGGCGTAGACGTGGTTTGGGTATTGCTGTAAGGCTGTTTTTTGATACTACTAACGTTATCCAACACGCCGTCTCCACCAGTAGTGACATGCGTTGCCTCCTTCTTCCCGAAACCTAAACCAGAAATATCGACCATGCTCCTCGAAGCCTGTTTATATATTCCTGGACGTCCAGGTACGGGAATGGGTGGCGTGCGTACTGAGAGCTCTATTGCCTTTGGCGCTTTAGCAGCGACGCCTCCACTGGGAATATTTCGAGGTGTCGTAGCTCGACTACCTTGCCCAGAACTATAAGAGAAGTAATCATGAGTCAGAGCTGCAGGGCCACTGGGACCGACTCGTGGCGTCCGTGCAGTCGGTGTCCGACTTGAATCATGATTATGGTCATAAGCACGTTCTTTACCTTTGGGATCAATTTTTAGGAACGAAAGATCTATCCTAGAGACATCGACCTGTGGAAGGGAAATTGGAGATAACGTTGCTGATGGTGTCACCGGTGAAATCGCATTGTTAGGACTGTCCACACTTGATCGCGCATCGTCACCATCTGCATCCGTATCTTCATCTTCCTCTTCATCACTATCCCTACCATCTCCGCCATCACTTTCGTCACCGTCCCCGTCGTCTGGTTCATCAGTCCCTGCCATAGGAAGAGCTGGCATAGTTCGTAAATGTCTTCGACTCTGAGCACGAGAAACGTCTCTGTTCTCTGGGATGGGACTACCAGTGATGATACCACTCATCCGACGCGCAAAGGTCGATGGACCAGCATTGTCGCTGGTTGAGATTGTTCTGGCCCTGGCTTCGGCTTCTGTAGGAGTAGAAGGCACCCTGATCGTGGGCAAGTTTAGAGGAACCGCAGGTTGTCGGATGATGACAGACGGTGTTAAACGCGCAGATGCACTTTCGTTTTCGGAAGTTATGAGGCTGAATCTATGGCCAGGAAGAGTTGTGAGACGTGGAACGGTGGGCCTACGAACGGGAGGTGTAGGGGACGTGGGAAGAGACGCGGTAAAGCGTGGCTGTTCTGGTGTAATGGTAGCAATAGAACTAGAAGTTGGAGGACGTGCTTTTTGTTTCATTTGCGAATTTGGTGCTACATCCACAGTTTTTGGCGCCCTAGACTCTGAACGAAGCGCCGACTGCATAAACGCTGGTTGTCTACTAAAAGACGATTCTGAACTGCCTGTACTGTTTCCGTCGTCTCGATCTGGCATCCCGGGCATACTAAGCATCGGTTGCGACATGTACGGTTTTGCCGCTGCGATGTCCATTGACCGAGTCTCTCGAGGCATATTCATGTACGGATTTTTGTCGGTGGCACCAGAATCAGTGCGCGAAATTGACCTGAATTTCGAGCCAACTCTAAATTTGTTGAAAATTCGGCTAGCTGTGGTCTGTGGTCGCGGTCAATAATGTTTAGCGTAAAACTATTGGAAAACAAGACGCACTTGAAAGCTGGAACTTCTGATCTGCATTACAGACTGAGCTCTCGGGTAAGGCTCCTGCATCTGCATTATTCACCTTCGTGCGAACTAGATATTATTAGATCGAAAGCATATAGGTGTCGTCCAAAGATTTAGCGTGGAACACTGAGACAGAAAGCTGGAGGTATGGATGAGAACAAGTATGTATGTAGTCACCCATGATGACATTGTTCCGAGGCCTGTGTCTCAAAATAGATTTTTCGTCCCACGGTGGTCGGCTTCTCCGGCGTACCAGGTCGCCCACAAACCTCCCTTCGCTACAATGTATTTATTAACTTCACTTCAAGGTCATCTATTAACTCGCCGCCCATTTCCACCAACTTACTGTAATAGTAATACTCCCACTGATCTCCACTACTCCGATTCCCCACAGCCTTGAACAGCATTGACCGACTCCTCCTTTGCTCCTCCGCGCAGCACTTGCGGTAAACAAGTCTCTAATTCCGGCAAGTGATAATACGCCTACAGTGCGGTGCGCCATCAACTCCCCACAGCGTCATTGACGATATCATGGAAATCAAAGTTTTGCATCAGCCTGAGAGAATGACATCCATACATCCACAACGCTGGTAATTTATTTCCTCTTCAATGCATTGCATCATGACGCACCTATAACTTGTATTTTAAGCGTTTCTGTAATGAAACTTGGCGTTATTATAATTAATTTACCAATCAAGTGCTAAGTGCCAAGTAGTAGTCCTCGAGGCAGCCTCGAGGACTAGTACCTGACCACAAGAGCCCCACCAAGTCCTAGTACTTACCAGTAGGTCATACGGAAGTAACGGAACTTACGGGCTTGCGAGCCCATGTCGCGATAACGCCGGATCCAACATTCTCTGTTTAACTGGTTCGATAAGGCCGTTTCCTCCGCAGCAAAGCAGACTCCGATTCTCACCAGGGCTTTTGAGTGATTCCTGGCGCAAGGGTTATGTATGTACTTCTTTCCAAGTTTCGTAATTCAAAAAAGAAAAAATCTCTTAATCGCCAAAGTATATCAATGGACAAATCCGGATTTGAACCGGAGACCTTTCGCAAACATAAAGATCCTGGATATGCAAAGCGAACGTGATAACCCCTACACCATATGCCCATAACTAAGTTAGGTTTAAGGAGGCTAACAGGCCAACTTCTGCAAGGCTACACTTCTGGTTTTAACTCGTATATCTGGTGGGCTGATGAGGAACACCCAAACCGTGTGCAAATCAGTGTAAATCCACATAAATCTAGATTACAACATTCACAGAAGTTTGACATCAGTTTAGTAGTACTATTTCCACAAAAAAAAAATGTTAATCCGCATGCAGTGGCAACGAGTGGAAAGCCATGGACAAATCCGGATTTGAACCGGAGACCTTTCGCAGACAAAGGATCGTAAATACAACCTTATGCAAAGCGAACCTGATAACCCCTACACCATATGCCCATGTACAACTTTATGCGTAGGGAGGCTAAAAGGCTAGCCAGCCGCAACAATGCCACCATCCATCATTAAAGCGCCGAGCTCACGGATTGCTTACAAAAATGTTATCAAAGCTACACTTCTGGTTTTACCTCATAGGGCTTGTTATCTGGTGGGTTAATGAGGAACATCCGACACGCTGTGTGCAAATCCACATAAATCTTAATATGTTCACAGAAGTTCATATAACATGATTTTACTATTTCCACAAAAAAAATATGTTAATGTGCATGCGGTGCCGGGTTGGTCATTACTGGGATATACTTCGCTTAGAGTATGGGCAAATGGTGCAGGGTTATCACCTGTCTGTAAAGCGATGGTGTTTCTCTATGATTTGTGTTTGCGAAAGGTCTCCGGTTCAAGTCCGGATTTGTCCATGAGTTCCTCGGGAGCATTGGCTCCAATTTAGTTTGGCCAACCGATGTATCATTGCAGAAAACTGGCTAACCGTCTGACTATATTCTTAAAGATAGCAAAAGTTCAGAGAAAGCTTTACTTTCAGTGCAACTAGAAAGTGGAGTGATGAACTTGAAAAATACGGCCACGGATGGCGGATCCAGATTTGAACCAGAGAGCTTTTGCAACCGATTTTCCTTATGCAAAGCGAACGTGATCGCCCCTACACCATATGCCCATGAAGTAATCCAAGCGTATGCGGGACACCTTCAGCGTCTCACTGTTCCAGAAAATACTACTTAACAGAGAGAAGAGCTTGCTATCTGGACTCCCAGTGGAGAGTTGAGAGCTTTTACCATATTCTTGATCTGCGCTAAAATTTAAAGAAATTTCCTTTCTCTCCTTGAGTGCAACTAGTAATGCTTGTGATTGACTTGTCACTGGTTGGTGAAAACTTAGATATAACTTATCCGAGGAGTCCATCAACTGAAACGCAAAAAACAAGACTCAAACAAGACTCATGTGGTATGGACAAGCCCGGATCCAAACCAGAAACCTTTCGCAGAATTGCACATACAAGAGTACAAAGTGGTTGTGATAACCCCTACACAAGATCATGCCCATACACTTTGCAAAGTATACGGCCAACTCCAGAAAAGGCCGATATCATCAAATACAGCACCTTAGACTCGGACAAGGACTCGGAGACTGGTCTCGTTTGAACAATTTATGTACCGCTGGCGTTCAATAACTTGGAGATTGAGGCGCAACTTACAAGGCCTCAGCTAGATAAATACCTCAAAAACTACTCACTGAGTCGTGCAGCTTAGCACTTGCACCCCTCTTCCCACCTCCGACGACATACGCATCGATATACCAAGTACAGCGTACATCTCAACTACCGAAGCTTTGAGTATATTTCGGGGGTAGATACTACCCTATCATCGCAAGGACTCCTAGTTGAATGAACTCCGAGTCGGGGGAGAACTCCAGTCTTCTCTTGGACACCGGATCCAGCTGCCAGGGCCAGGGGCAATGGTGCAATATTTCCTTTGCTTATTCAATTAGTTATTGTGAGCTTAGTACCCCATTAGCGCACTCGGGAACGGCATGGTTTATTTTTTGATTTTCCCCCTCCCGGATCTCAAGTGCTGTCTATATATTGAGTTTATTGAATATTATCTTATCTACCTCTCCATCCTCATTGGCGCAAGTCGTTTGCATAGGCATCAGCAGGTGAACGATGCTCTGTTGTGATGCGACGCTTTGACCGGAATATGTAACTCCAGATCTAGCACGGTAATTACTACACTCCGCATTTCCTTACCAATTATTTACCTAGCTACTTACTAATACTTTCAGACCCAGTAGATACCTCGTAGAGTACATGTACTGTAGTATATAAGGCCTGGTAGTGTAGAACTAGCATCCACCTATCCCAAAGTTGCACTAGCCTCACGACCCCGAGTCCCCACTGCGCTGATTACCTACGACATGCTCTACCAGGGCAATGTTGAGGACAAACAAACTGAATACCATTTGGAGAGGAAGAGAGGTGTGAGGCCGCTGCCTAGATGTAGGTGTAGATGTAGACGGCGGCGGGGGCTTTGGTTTTCGAGCGTTTCGGGTGTTCTGGGTGTGTTCAAGGAAAGGAAGGGATTCCCATTACTACCACAACCACTAATTACCTACTAGCACCTTGCTATGATACATTTCACCCCTTACCCCAGCTCAACGATTCAGGAAGCACTAAAGTAGCTGCACTGAAATATAGATGTATGGCTATACTCTTGATTTGTTATTTGGGCCTTTGACGGATTGTTCTTATTCCTGTTGAAGATACTATCTTCAATAAAAAAACTTATGTAGAATATCCACTTTTGTTTGGGACCACACCATATGCAGGTCCTGCCTTCCCAAACATCATTCTCAAATCTTGAACCAGAAGCTCTGGTACTTCATATGCAGCAAAATGACCCCCTCTATCATGATCAGCCTGAAACACTAGTCCTCTGTATACCTTAACCCAACTTTTCCAAGGAAATCCATTAAATAGACACAAGAAGGAGAAGACAAATAATTTACCTAGGTGGTGCATAGAAGATTTCCTTGGGGAAGGATGAGGCGCCGAGTTTCACGGGGGCTTCAGTTGTCCAGTTGAATGGTGCTGTGATTTCTCCAGTCTGATCAATTTCATAATACATATAAGAAGCAGCAGCTGGGCCCGCTCGCGAGAACCAGTAAATTGAAATCCATGTCAGAACTATGGCATCATCAGTCCAGACTCCCAGCAGACGCACTTTCCACGCCATACCTTCATCATCATCCCAAGGATAGTTGTCTGTCCAGTTGACGAGTTTTTCATAGATCCAAGTGAGAAGGCCAACTGGAGAATCTGCGAGACTATACCCTATTGTCTGTGGTTGCGTAGATTGCAGCACAAAATAACCATTTCCTTGAGTGAAATACCATTGGCCACGGGCAGCCCGTGGGTCTGATAGCTCCTCTGGCAAGGGCTTTGAGGTTGGCGTTGGTGGTGTTGTACTGGGATAGTTCAGGTTCACTATCTACGGGGAAAAAATGATCCTTACAGAAGGAAATTCGTGTGCCATGCCATCAGGTGCTTGTTGCCATACATGTTTGCCATCTGTCGCGTAACCTGGCGCAATCAGATTGAATATTATTTTGGGACACTTCGAGGAAACAAAGCACTGACGATGCTTCCCCAGTCCCCACCTTGTGTCACTAGAAAGAATAACCCTATCAGAGGCCCTAAAGCAACAACTGGCTTCACACACCATACTTTTCATAGCCCAAGGCTAGCATCAGTTTATTACCAACCTGAAATGCATTTGTCACGCGAATCCTTGAACCAGTCGCACATACCTACCTCAGCATATTGGGCACTTTTGAAACCCTGCAATTTAGGACCTTGAGAGAACCCATAGCCAGGCAAGCTAAGCGCAACAACATGGAATGCTGGATGGTCTGGCCCAGGATTCAAGAGTAATGGTAGTATCTTGCGTACTTCAATGAAGCTTCCAGGCCCTACCACGCCTGTCAGCATAAGTCAGATAATATGGTAAAGGGACTCACATCCATGGACAAACAGCATTGGAATAGCATTGTCAACCTCACTCTTCTGATGCACGTAATGAATATTCAGAGTCCCGTGGCCCTCGACGTCAATGTCTCTGGTGAACTGAGGCAGCTCCTCATTGATGCGGGCTTCCTCTTTACGCCAATCGAAACTGTTCTGCCATCTGGAAACCAAACGGCGGACGTCAGTCAATGACGCTCCATACTTCTTTCCTGCACCCTCGAGTTCGTCTGGGAGGACATGCAGCGCAAGCTTCTTGCTTAGCAACGACAGTTGCTCATCGGAAATTGCGATTTTGAAAGGTTTCTCATTAGAGTCCGCAGGCATTGTTCGAAAAGGTGGTTGGATCTGAGTCTTTCCAGATATCAGCGCCATCTTAAATAACTTATGTGCTGCCCCGTGGCATCGTTACAGTATGACACTGACTACTCGACGTTCACACAAACAACAAACCGGTTGCAGGTGTATAAAAAAGCATGTATAAAAGTGGCAATTAATCTGTCAATCACGAAGAAGAAGCAGCCTGCAAACACACCGTGTGTGAAGAAAAATCTGCTGGTCTGAAATTGCGCACACCAAGAGTTCCCACGCCCGACCTTTTTGGACCTTTTTGACCTTTCTGAATCAAGCACCAATCAGTCATGTCGAACGGATAAGCGTCCATGTAACTCGTTCCGACGGGCAAACGCGACGAGACCTAATGAACGTTGAAGCCACAAAGACATCACTGAGCACCTGATTTCACTGGCCGGCATTGATGGCCGGCGTTCAGTGAAAACGAGCGTCTTTCCAGGTCCTTTCAGTTGCCATAATGTTTCCCCTCCCGAGGGAAAGCTCCGAGACTGCCGAGTCTGGAGGATTCTTGAAAAGACTAATCCCATCCAATTTCCAACCATTCAGTCTTTTTGCCAGGTGTGTCTGGAAACTGGAAGGCTACTATGACACGCAGGACATAGGTCAATTGGAGGAGGCAATCCAGATTTCCAAGCAGATTGTTTCTGCTACTCCAACAGGGCGTCAAGGTAATCTCCATGCTCGTTATGCATTGGCTTCCTGCATTTCCGCGCGTTTCTTCAGGCTAGGCCTTGAACAAGATGCTAACGAACATTTTCTAATTGCTGATGGGCTACTGAAGGATTATCCGAACGGTTGGAAAGGCACTACTCTGAGTGTATGTTACTACTTTTAAACTTCGACGCTAATATTTCATTCTAAATGCTTTGAAAGCTAGGCCTGGCCGAGCATATCTAAGAACGACTTGATATCTCTTCTTTGCCGATGTTTTATGCCTACGGCAAAGCTTGCTTATAAGGTAGATATCTGTAAACAAGCTCTTGAATCGGAATCATTAAAAGCAACGGATCGGTACTTGACCTTGGTGATCACCGCTCTTATCCTCGTCGATAAATATCGTTATTCGGAAGAAAACGAAGACATTGAGGCGGCACATCAGTTCGTCCAGCAAGCAGACAGTCTAAAAGCTTCCGGGCGCATCAAACTTGCTCGTCGACCTTTTCTTGACTTCTGGGGCTGTATCTTCTACGGACCAAACCAAGGAAAGGACTCCAATATAGGCCTACGGACCCTCATCACGCACTCACAATGCCTGTGTCGCAGCCCTCATGTTACGCTGGGTGACCTCGATGCTTCAATTGAATACTCTCGTCGAACTTTCATTAAACTCCACCCTTGGAAAGACACCGGCCTCGATTCGCTCTGTGATTTCATGGAACTAATATGCTATCGCATATGGGTTGTACACAGTCAGCTTCTATCTTCTGGAGATACCGAAGAGTTGCATCTCCAACATGCAAATGACAAGCATGAGCTTGATCAACTTCTGCTCAGAGCAATCGCTCTGATACCAGATGTGAGATTGTCAGTCCCACAGAACCAGTTACCCGGGTTGGCAATTTATGGCCCTCCTGGGCGTTTCCTCGAACTCGTTCTCAGTCGAGGTAAATGGAATGACTGGGAAGAACAAGGAGGCGCTATCGTGGACATCCTGGGTTTTCCTCTTCAGAAAAAATTGCTGGCACTTTGCTCAAAAACACTCGACTTATTGCCCAATGTTGTGATTCTTGGTCTAGGCCATGATTCACGCATTCGAATTCTCCGGTTTGGTCCACAATTATCATGGATGACAGCCTCTCTAGCGCTAACAGGTGGTGCACCTAAAACGGCTATTCTGGCGCTTGAAACTGGACGTTCCTTGTTTTGGAACCAACACCTGTTTCTACGAGATTCATTCCGTCATATTCCGAAAAGATATGCGGACCGCTTGCGTGCGCTCTCGACGTCATTACTTGCCAAGGAATCCGCAGATGTGTCGGGGAACTCTATTTCCACCCCACATCGCCTGGAGACAATATACGAACTCAACGGCCTGGTTGGTGAGATTCGTCAAAACCCAGATTTTGTTGATTTCATGCGACGGCCAGCATTGGTTAAAATATTACCACCCTCAATGAAAAGCCCTATAGTAATATTGGTTCCAGGAAAAACATGCTTCGCTATCATCATACACAATCTGTCAAAAATCGAGCATTTGTCCCTTCCTGACCTTGACTATCCTGGTCTTCGAAAATTATTGAGGTCCATGCACCGCGGTGATCAGCTAAACGGTAGAGCTACAACAGATATCAAGCGGCTCAAGGTCCGTATGGATGCAAGGGGTAAAGAATCAGAAGTTCTGAAGGCGTTCAGTGACCTGTTCAAGTATGTTGTGAAGCCAGTTATCTGTGCACTCGCTCTCAGTGCGGTACGTGATGTATATGATAACATTACGATGACTCTTATTTATTTATTGGTCTCTCAGAAACGCGATAGGAGTGACCGTCCGCGTCTATGGTGGTGCCCAACAGACCTCTTTTGTGGATTGCCTCTTCATGCATCAGGTATATACACACCACAGGGCAAGCCGATTGATTGTACCTCCGACTACTGTGTATCCTCTTACACCCCAAGTCTGTCTGCGCTAGCCCACAATCAGAATCGCTGGATGTCTCGGGAAAAAAGACCAGGCAGAATCAAAGGTCGGGTCCTGGTTGCAGCAGAGGCAAATCCCAATCGACATGGCCTCTCCTACCTACCGGATGTCGATGCAGAAATTAGTTGCATTCAATCGGTAATTCCGAATGAACTTCTGATGACCCCTCAGTTCACAGAAGGAGGCAGCGTTCCTGCGTCCGATGGTATAATGCCCTGCATTCATTCTACTCCAGACGATGTTGTTGCCGGTTTACCTCATGCATCCGTACTCCATATATGTTGCCACGCAGAACAAGGGGTCAGTGATGCTCTCAAGAGTCGCTTTTTCCTAAGAGATAAAGATTTAACACTTGCTGAGCTCCTTGCGCTCGAGCTTCCAGAAGCATATGTCGCCGTTCTATGTGCTTGCGAGACACACTCCTTGGACGTGGATCAAATAGACCAATCGGTGAATCTTACAACAGCCTTCTTTTATGCTGGATTCCCATCGGTGGTTGGGACACTTTGGTATGTTAAGAATGTTAAGTGCTACAGATTACGCTAAACCCTTTTCACTATAGGTCCATGGCTGACGGAGATGGGCCTCTTGTTGCAGATATATTATACCGATCGCTCTTTCAAGAAGGGCGCATCAACATGAATCCTGATTGCGTAGCTTATGCTGTAGATGAGATGATGCGGACGATAAGAGAAGGGGGTAGTGCTCCTCGAAATTGGGCAACGTTTATTCATGTTGGTATATAAACGATACAAACAACCAGCTCCCAAGCAAAGTTGAGCATTGTTCAGAAAGATGGTGAATTAAATTAGATTCTCAGGCTCAAGTTGGGAGTTGGATCACTGCTTTTTGTGTTGGATAGTCGGCGTGCATGTAAAGCACCATTGCAAAGCGCCATTCGTTTCCTTAAGTATGGGACGCCGGCGCCCAGTTCCTCCAGCGAGGTAGCGATGGCCCGACCAGTCCAACGCTTAGCAAGTACGTAGGATTTGTTAGTTAGTTGACGTAGACCACACTTAAGAGGTAAGTACTAAACAGAGCTGACACGAAATAAAATAAAAACAAAGCTGAATTCAAGATGTAGAGATTCACTGGACAACCCCGGATTTGAACTGGAGACCATTCGCAGAATGGATGACATGCAAAGTAAACGCATTAAATGCATTAACCGCTATCCCACATGCCCATACTCAAGGGAAAGCGTAGGTACGAGTTGAACAAGGACTAACTATACAGAGGAATGTACCAAAACGCCTTGGCGAGAAATTGAAGCGATAACAACGTCGTAGTAGAAATAATCAATGTTGAGGTGTACAAGAAGGTCACGAAGCTCCCCATTCCCATAAATCAACTAGTGCCGTTCCCGAGTGCTTTAAAGCTGACACAACATAAAATAAAAATACGAAATGGCAGCTATACTCATCTACAAAGATGGTCTGGATTCTCGAGACTAAGCTGTAATGGACAACCCCGGATTCGAACTGGAGACCATTCGCAGAATGCATGACATGCAAAGTAAACGCAACCCGTACCCCATATGCCCATACTCCAGGGTGAGCGTAGGCACGACTTGAACAAGAGCTGACTATACAGACTATCCAGAGGAGTGTACCAAATGCCTCTGCAAGAAATTGAAGCGATGACAACGTCGTAGGAATAAGAGTCAATGTTGAGGTATACAAGAAGGGCACGAAGCTCTCTCGGGGCCATTCCCATAATCAACTAGTAGCTCTTCAATTTACAACTCCGGCAGAATACTTATCCGTTCCTCCCACCAGTATGTCACTGGCATAGTACGGGATTCGCTCATATCTGTGCTAAGGTTTTCGTTCTGTGTCCCAACCCTCCACGAGAGCTCTCGAAAAGTGGAATGGAAGACTCGCACGGAGTGCGGCGCCCTCGATGGAGAACGTCTCCCAAAGAAAGCTCCGCTTCTCTTCTAGGGTTTACTATAGCGCTAGGAAGTAATACTTGGGATTAGCTTGTTGGCTAGCAAAGAACTTGTTGAATGTCTGTCACCGAAACGGAAAAAAAAAACAATGTTGCCTCATTTACGTACATTCCATTATGGACAAATCTGGAATTGAACCAGAGACCTTTCGATACGACGAATCGCACGACGCTCTCTCAACAGAGAGTGCAAAGCGGTTAACGTGATAACCCCTACACCAGATCATGCCCATACACCATACTAAGTATATTGGGGCTAACTCCAGCAGTGATCGGTATCCACGCCAGCGGTACGTGAGGAAAATGTCCTAAGCACGGAATCACCATTCCTATACATAGACTCAGAGTCTAGTATACGTAGCGACAATGTGAAAACCCCGGTCACTCTGTTCGTCGCCTTTAACCTTTATTGATATTCACAGTGAAGATCGACCAGGCGGAACTGGACTCGAACAAGGACAAAACGGCTTCGAATGGGCAGGATGGGGCGCCACTGAAATTCAATTCACCCAATATCGCCCAAGCACTCATTCTATCCGCTTTACCCAAAGAACGAGCAGGATTTGAGTAAGATTTCTATCGTGATGATATTGCCACGGAAGTACTGGTCACTGAGAAGGAGCGAATAAAGTTACAAGACTCACCTCTGTGTGCAGTGGCGCTACAACGCCTTGTAAACAGTTCTGATACAACAAAAGGAAGTCATATGATAGCATATAAGGGACTACCACAAGCGAATCTGCGCACAAAATAACGAGCTGTGAGTGTCGCAGAACCGTCCTTCCGGTCGTACAGCGTACCGTCAACTCTGCGTGAAAGTCAATCAACGGTGAATCTGACAGGTAAAGGAGTCGAGTGACATCCCATATAACATGGTCCATCATTAACCGTTTTGCATTCGCGGAGTCGATAGGAAGATTTCGAGGAAAGGGTACAATATCGATGAGGTCGAAGCTCAATTAGAAATGGATACAAAGGCTAGAAAGTCTCCGAACTTCAAAGTCAGTTAAACCACCGAAAATGACCAAGGATACATCTTCCAGCTTCCAGCCTAATTCCCATGCCCATCGCCCAAGAGCCTCAAGAAAAAAGGCGACCGAGTTGCGAGTTTGGATCCTGACTTGGCGTCAACAGAAAGATGACCATCTACAAACCTAGAAAAGGTATAGTAAGTTCAGATAATAGATCATATACGCGATTTACGCGCCTCCTTTTTGTATCTCATTCCCATATCAAAAAAAGCATTTGCTAACACTATATATTGAACAGCCCAGTGAGAGTTGAAAGTCGTCAGCCGCGTTTGTAGAGCGCCTAAGTAGTACTGAAGGAGGTACATCGAGAGGCTATAGATGATGGAGATGGTGGTGGTAGAAGAGGCAGGAATGATTGTTGACGTGACGACGTGACGTATCAAAAGGTATGGTGACTAGGCATCACAAAGAAACCTGAGCTTGTCTTGGAGAATTATGTTATATAAAGAGAACAAGCCCGAAGAAAGAACTGAGTACTGAGTACTGGTTACTGATGCCCATTTCAGATTTCAGTCCGTTGCAATCCAATCCTTCGCCCTTCCTTCAAGCTTCATGGCTTACATACGCGTCTGCGTCATACCCTTCCCCTCCCACTCGAAGGTGAAATGGACATTCTGTTGGAGTGAATTAAGGAAGGCGTCGAATAAGCTTAACGTTCGCTCCGGTCTATAGCAAGTAAGCCCTAGCAAACGCGCAGGGGAAAATCATATTGAAAGCTACTTTAAATAGGCTACCAGTAAGTTGAATTACTAACCTAAACACGGAGAAATATACAGTAAAATAAAAGATAAAACCCAAAGTAAAACTAAGAAGCTCTGCACCGGCGTGCACTCCGGGGGAGAACTAACATCCGCACCACTGGATAAACCATCGGCGAGCAATACCGATTGCTCAGCTGACATCCGTATCTCCAACACATTCGACCTTCTCCGGCCTGGTGTGGTCGGAGGTGGGATGGCATGACTTCTTTGTCTTTGCCTTTTTTGGGAATCAGCTCAACCGTAGCATCAGATACCAGGTACTACGGCCTCCGTCTAATGATCGCGAGCTACCGGTTTACTTCCCTTCCTCGAGCAGGATGTAACGAAGCTTTTTCCAGCGGTACGTGCGCGTGAGTACTTGAGTAGCAATGTCATAAGCGCAGAATCAGAGGTTACATTCCTTTGTATATACATGTAGTACATGTAGTAACAACGTGAAAGCCTTCACTTTGTCAAGGGGTAAATCACTTTGCCGTTTGGATCCACTACTTCTCCCTCTATATCATCCATCTTCTTTTTTCTAAGCTCGGCGGGAGTCGTGTCTATTCCTCGCAATATGCCCTTATGCTTCTTCCCCTTATACGTCTCTGCATCATACTCGAAGGTAAAGGCAACAGTCGAAGGTAAACCGCTGCCTGAATATGAACGGAGGGGCTGGAGTGGCCGCTGGCCTTTTCTTTGGGGGGTCAGGTCAATATGAGCCTCGGGTAATGCCTTCTGTATAAGATGCTTGATGTGTTTGATGATGATAGGCTCAGTTTCGAGCGGGAAACTCGGTACCCCGCCGATAAATTCCACGGTTCTTATTACCTCCTTCTTCTTCTTGGGCTCTTCGGGCACCCCATGCACCTTGTGCTCTTCGGGTACCTCGTGCACCTTGGGCTCCGTTCGTGAATGCAGAGTGTAGGAAGCAGTTTCCATCGACCTCAACCTCAATTCGGAGGGGGGAGGGGCTTGTGTATTAACCTGGATATAAGCAAGCTTCAGCAGGCTTTGGATGCTATGGGTCAGCTGCTACTCACAGCAATAGGGGATGCCCATGTGAGCGAGACGAGCCCGAGGAGTACTGGAATGCAAGAAGCAACGGTAACGCGCATTTCGGCGAGTAAAGTTCAGACGAAGTGATGATTTAGAGGGGAAGGTGCTGGCGGGGAGGGGTGATTGTAACGCGATTTTTTCCAGTGATGACTTTGACCAGCAAAGAGGGTAATGGACCTGTCCAGCAGTTGGAGGGTATTCGCAACCTCGTCCCACCTTTTATACACTCGAGTTATTCAGCCTATTTGGTAATCGAGATTCTGACCCCAGCGAATATTTAAAAAGAATAAGTAAAATAAAACATAATTAAATGATAGAATATCGGGGATCTAAGTCCAGCTGATAAACGAAAATGCGGATCCATCAATGTTCCACATCGCCTCTCTAATAACATCGGGATTCGGGACTCGGGAAGGTATCCAGAGAATTCAGTTCCATCCCTCCAGAGTATCACCTGTCGGCAGCCGCCTCTACTTAGGATCGGCAGAACAGCTTGAAACTTCGTACAAGCAACGATTATTAGCATACTTATTCTGGTTCCTCCTTCTCCGAGCAAGTAGTTATTGCCACCTTTTCCTCAGCCCCCCCTACCTTCCTCTTCTTTCGCACGTTCTCTAGCACAACCTTGAATTGGACACTATCACAATGACCAAAGGGGGAAGGTAACAGGGTAGGTATACAAGGTCCGCGAACGTAGCATAGCATAGCATCGGACCGACCGCTGCTTTTGGGCCTTGGCGTCAGGAAACCTGAATCAGTGGTGAATTTTGTTACTGTAGAAATGGATAGACGTGTTCCCAACATATGAAATAACCATTTCTTAGATAGTGTTAGCAGTAGCCCGCTGTACCAGACTGTACCCTACTGTCCCAGTACACCAGCTCAAACAAAGCTCAAAAAAAAGTCTCTACGACTTTGCTATGTAAGTTCCGGATCGCTGGAGTGAAACACATTGAATAACATATCCATGTACGGTAGGCGGGGCAATGCTGGGCATCATCCACGATTCCACAGCAAGTATAATCCAATAAACACCGGATTTTCCAACATTTTCCGGTAACAGCATTGCCGGTTTGCTCTGAGACTTGAGTTTCTGAAAATCAGTTGCGAGGAACCTGAGGGGACCTGTTTCAGGCTTTTGACCTGCCGCATTTTTGGAGCGTCCCTGGGCGTCCCCAGTTGCCCCCTCACAGGCTGTCCCCATCCCTAGCCATCCCTCCACATCCCCACCCATGACTTCCTCAATTGGTATTTTCTGGGATGCCGCCACATCCGACGACCTTCCTCGGCCGCTTGGACTTTTTCGTAACCTTTGTAGTACTATTTACTTTCCCCATTTCCCCTACCCTCGTCTACCGCACGTTGTATACACGTTGTTCTTTTTTTCAGTGCGTGCGTTAAGGCTACTGACTAATTTGAAAACAAACATTTAGACGATCCGACGAATCATAGCCATCCTACCAGCCTACTATCACACTCCATGCATGTCCCCATACGATTTGGTGAGCCCTGTAAGGCTGTAACATTGGCCGTTTTCAGTGTTTGTAAGTTAGAATTACGCAAACATCATCGAGGGTACAAATTATCTCACTCCAGACTTCGATAATTTCCCATAGTAGAAGGCTATAGAATAGTTTCATAGGTGAACTCATCCACCAAAGCAGCAACTTTCTTAGCAACTCCTGCAGAATACTTGTACCCCGTTCCTCCCACTCCATATGCGTGTACAACCTTCATCCCCACCACTGGAGCTATCGTTAGCACTTCCTTCTCCACTCGTACCCCACCTATTCTTCCAGGCCGTATCCCGACAAATTCCTCGACGATATCAAGGTCTTCGACTTTCTCAGGATATGCTCCAGGAGGGGTGATAAGTCGAACTCGACGAAGAATATCTTCTCTTAACGTCGGATCCAGCTCTGTCGAAGTGTTTCCTGGTTGGCTAATTCCACCAAGTACAGCAGTACCATCGAGTCGGGGAATGGAGTATGCGTAGAGATCTCCACTGCAAACAGGTCAGCAAGCCTGAGTGCTTGACGGAGTAGCCAAATTAACCTTCGAACTACTACTGTCGTTTCTTTCGTCCTAACTAGCATTGTCTGACCTCGTGACTCCTGCACAAGGTGGTCTTCAACTCCTCCAAGATATTTCGCTCCAACTCCACTCGCGTTCACCACAACGTCGACTTCTGGAACAATATCTCGTACTTCTGATATGTGACCAAGCTCTTTCCGCACAAATTTAACGTGTGAAGCTGTGAGACGGTCGTGGAGCCATTCGAGATAGACCTGAGGGGTGATGACGACTGTATTGTACTCGGATCCAAGAGCAACGCCTTCTGGGAGCTCAGAGGGGAGCATTCGTCTATACTAGCAACCATTCAACTATCGGTTAAGACTAA